TTAGCAACAACAACAAAAAAAAAAAATATCCAAAGCCTCATCTACGAAAACCCTCTAACATATGTATATGTGGTTTTTCACTAAATTGTGTAGTTATGTTCTTTGTCTCTTCACCGCCACTAACTTAAATCGAGCCTTCCACCGTTGCTCACAGTGTTCACCTCTCCCACGCTATTACTTCTCATTCAATAAGAATTATAAGGTAAATCAATACTTTTGATTTTGACGTTGGATGGAAAGTAGATACAATTTCGATCAATTTATACAATTGTGATTTGTAAAGCAAACAATAACTTATTGGGATAGTGTTAAACTTAAATATAATGTGGTGTGAAATAAACCCCAGACAAACAAGATTTAACACTCTAAAACAAATGCAAGACTAGTAACTTGGAAGGTAACACAACTTTAGTTCAATTCGCAATAAAATAACTTTTCTTTAAAATGAGTTGATATTGCAATTAAAATCATTCTTTTAGGTTCGCTAATGAGTTCATGTTCGGAGATGGAGATTACGAGAGTTCGATTGAAGCAGAGTCGAAAACAAACCTGCGTTTGTTTGATCTCAAGTCAACTATGTTAAAGCCTTCGATCACTACAACATGATCTCATCCACGCTTTAGTAAAAAATGTACATTACATATTTTACTTATAACATTAATGATTTTTAGAACACGACGACACCTAGTGTGAGATCAACTTAAATGATTCCCTCTCTTTTTTGTCATAATATTCGATATTGATTTTCAAAGATTTATCTTTTGTATTTTACTATAGAAGTAAATAGATGTATTTGAGGACAATAACATCGCTTAAAAAAAAAATCGCAAAATTCAACAAATAATATAAAAAACAATTTCGAAAGCAAAATGATGTTAAAAGCCTACCAATATGTAAGTTCAAATTGAACACGAGCATATTGTAATCAAAGACACAAATGTCTCTCCATGAGGACATTTAAATTTTTCATAAAAAAACACATCATTTAAAAAACTGAATCTCTAACACCAAACAAAACATTTTATTTAGAGTTAATTACTAGAATGACTTTGGAAAGTAGGGTAATTACTAGAATGACTTTGTCAAATCTAGTAACTTGACACAACTCGATAAAAGACAAATAAACTTTAATAATCTATTTTATTTACGCAA